CCCCGCAAAGGGAGCTAGGCAAGACGACAGAAGGCAATAAGTGTATACATAGGGAAGTCCACTGCGAGCACTTAAACAGGCGGTCATATGCGTGTATGTGTGTGTGAATGGCTGGCTGGCGAACACTATACGCCGGGCGTGAGGAAATCACAGGTAAATCAGCCCGTCCTTAGACCCACACCAGTCAGGGTGGCGTCCAGTTGTCGCAGTTCGGGCAGAAGCAGCAGGATCTTCCGGCGATAGCCACTGTCCTTCTTGCCATCGGCAGTGTAGTAGAGCGGATTTCTCTCCATGTAGAGGGTTTGTAGGCTCTTAAGGGGCACCAGAGCCTTCAGCTGATCCCATTCGGCAACACGGTTGTCGTTGAACCAAAACTCCTCCATATTGACCAAAGCCTCCAGATTTTCCAGGTGGGTGACGCGATTAAAGGCGAGATCCAGGGTCTGTATCTTGGTCAACTTCTCTAGATTTTCAATCTTTGCAATTCCATTGGAGCTGATGTAGAGTTCTTCGAGATTTACCAGATTCTCCAGTCCCTCTATCTTAGTAATCCGATTACTCTACAATAGAATTTTAAAAAAAGAAGAGGATAGAAGCTCAGAAATGACTACTTGAGGAATATAAATGCAGATCAGAGGTACTTCGAACAATTGTCATGCTTTTTGGTAAAAACGTCCGCCAATGTCTTCCTTAATGATACATACAATGGAACTCGGTACTGACAGAACCGTTAATTATATGGGTAAAAATACATTATGGACCAAGACTGGCTTATTAGGCGACAGCAGCCAGCCATATCTAACCCCAGATGCTGTGGCGACCGAGGTTCGAACCTGTGACCGTGTTAGTAAGAAGCCCAACGTACTAACCACTGCGCCACGGGCTCTTTGCCTTGCCGATTTCGATCGGGAATGTAAACAATGGTAGATGGGAACTCATCAATCGGTTACGGAGCTGTTGTGCCTTTTGGGGATCGCTCTCGAACCCTGACAGCGCCCGCTCAACGGCTAGCACACTAGGTAGGTAGTAATGCATTACCGACAAAGAAAAAGGAGACTGGAATGGCCATTTCTGGCTTATAAAACGTTATCAGGAAGTCACATCCAATCCCAGATATTGCAACACCTGGGCCTCGAGCCCGCAAACTGTTGGCAAGAGGTCCGATGCACTACCTCCCCGCCCCACTGCAGGAAGGATGGACGACACATAAAATGCGGGTAGATTGATGCAGTCTGGATCGGGCTTATTCTGCTCTCATTCAGAACACACACATATATGATAGAGTGGATCCGACAAAGAGAAAGGAGACCGGAATGGCCATTTCTGGATTGTTAGCCCCGAGATTCGAACCCAGGACCTTTGGTCATTGAGCCTCATACTTTACCTCGGCACCATGGGGGTTCCAACTCCTGAGATTGGGTATGACTGGCTGATGATGGCTAGAAAGTCAGAAATGGCCATTCTGGTCTGCCTTTTCTTTATCAGATCCACTCCATCATATGTCTGAGGTGGCTAAGCGACAGCCTGATATCACTCAAGTACGAGCCTTAAGGCACTTTCCGGGACAAGTATATGCCCTATCAAGATAGATCGGATGAACACCCCAGTTCCACACATATATATGCAGATAATAGGGCCTATTCTTCCTTCATTCAGCCAATTATAACCCTGACTACTAGTTGAGACTAAAGACACAAACATGCGCTCGGTGCAGATAGTCCAGATATACTTGGACTGGCAGATGAGTCATAAACACATTATCGAGCCGAAGATCATCGGTGC